GTGTAGAGGAGGCGGTGATCCTGGTACCGAGCATAGTTCTGCACCTGAGCTTCATACAGCACCTCTCCGTCTTTGCGCCAGGCGGTGCTCATGGGAGAATCGCTGCTACTGAATGCAGAACAGTTCAGAGTGACGTTGGTCCCGCGCAAGGCCACGGCGGTCTTGGGATGAGCGCTGATCTGGGGTTTAGGGAAGTCATCTGTGAGTGAGACAATAAAGAGATCTCATTGCAAGAAAGAGCTTAGATTTAAAGTTTCATAAAATTGCTTTTTTTATTGGCACAAGACACAAAACAGAGAAGGTCGCCTTGGACATTTTGTTACTGTAAGGTCACTCACTGCAGACAAAATCCTCGGGTTTAATAGCAAGCACACTAGATCCTGCCAGGAAGGCAGGATGAGCACAGACGGCAGTGCAGGATTGCTGGAACTGACTGTCAATCAACCACTGGACCAACCACTGCAGCTGACAGTCACACAGGAGGCTGCTGGTGTTCAAATCACTGAGGAAGACAACAATCCAAGCATCATTGAGAATACACCTGAACTACACTATTCTAATATACAAACACTGTCTGTACAGACAAAGATGCAACAAACATATATTATGTAAAATGCAAAGATACAGAAAATACATACAGTCTGTAGAAAGTAAAGAATGACTTACAGTGTTTTAAGTTTTAAATGAGTGAAAGCATCAGGATGAATAGACATGATGCCATTCTTACTCAGGTCCCTGCAGGAACAAATTCAAAAAGATTATTTACACTGGAAAAACAAAAACTCTTTGTGCGTGCTGAATAATGGAATGGACTGGATTTTATTGTAGTCATTGTCTTTACACAAATACAAATAAGAACAATATAACAGCATAACCTTATACATCTATGAATCTATAACCTAGAGTATTTCACAGAGTCAGAGTTAAAAAGGGTTTAAAACATGAGTCTTTTCTGTTGTATTTTATAGTTTTGATGCTCAATTTCACTTGAATTAAGTAAACATTTAGCTCTTAGATAGAACTATGGAAGCCTATTTCTGCCTAGGAGTTAAAAAAAAGGCTTTGTATATATATATATATATATATATATATATTTATTTAGTAGTGGGATGAGTGAAAATATTGGCAGGGCAAGTTAAATTCTGAATTACTGTTCTGACTGGCACAGCAGAAAAAAATCTTTAATGCATTTTACACATAAACTTAAGGCTTTTTATATAGTGCTACCAAAAAAAGTATCTGCATAAAATGAGAGACAGAAGGGAAACGTTGATTATCTTACAATGTGCGGACGTTAGCCAGGCTGCTGAACACTCCTTCTCCCAGGTGTGAGACTTGATTGTCACCCAAGTTGAGACTCTGCAGGAGACTGAGACCAGAAAACACCCAATCCTCCAGACGACTCAAGTGATTGAAGGACAAATCCCTGGAATCAAAACACACGCATACGCATTACCTGAGAGCTAACAATCAAATACACCTCATCAAACACCTCAAGAAAAAAAACTAAGACAGATCATCCATTTCTAGAAAAAAATTACAAATTTCACAGTATTGTATATAGGATTAAACGTTAAGGTCAGGGCCGAAGTCACTCACAGCTCCTCCAGGCGATGGCAAAACTCCCAGGCATCGGCTCGGATGAGTCCAATATTGTTCTGATTTACCTGCAGAATCCTGAGCATGTGCAGGCCATACAACCAGCCCTTATTCAGCTCTGTCAGATTATTATACTCCAACTCTCTGGCAGAAAACAGAGCACACGTCACCCATAAATCACTACTTTGATTCATGTGAAATAGAAACTTAAATTATACATTTAAAAAATGGGGGGGGGGGGGGCTTTTTATAATATTT